TTCTCAACATTGTAAGTTGACCGCTGCAGGTCGATGAGTACTCTTAACTCTCCCTCTGCCGTCTTGCCATTATACAGACGGTAGTGATTGCATGCCTTCAAGTTGATGGCAGTGGCACTGTTGCTATGTGTTTGCAAGTATACATTCAACACCTCCAAGCTAACATCATAGTAGTCCAACTTGTAATAACACATCGCAACGTACACGTTGAGTGCTACGTACTCTCGGGTTTCTAGTAGAATTCGCTTGTAAACATCAATGGCTTCTTGAAAGTGGCCCCGATAGTAATGAACCGCGGCCAATGAAAGTTGATCCTCAACCGTATCCTTCAACTTCTGGTGGTAAACCAGCAACTTTTCCTCATCGTATAATTTCTGGGCAATGTGAAACAATAAACGTGTTTGCAAAGAACACTCTGGTCCCCTTAACGCACACTCCTCTGCCTCCTTGTAGGATCCATTAACAAAGTGACAACATCCCATGTGGATATAGTGCATTGGATCACAACGTTCTAGGGACAATAACTCCTTGTAGACATCAATAGCCTTTCCCACATCATTCATGTGAAATGCACTGTATGCCAGCCATGGGTTAATGGAGAGTTCGCCAACCGGCTGGTTTGTCGTCTTGTAGAACTCTAGCATTGTTGTGGCCTTGGAGAAATCCCGTGCCTGCAGCGCCTCCTCCAGCTGGTCCACCACGGACGCCTTTGTTTGAATGGTCTTTTGTATCGGCGCCGCATTTCTCCGCCTCACTCGACCACTTGTCAAGAGCATGGCACCTTTTCTTTATTCCCTTTTTCTTTTTGGTTCCCTTCTTTTGCCAGTATACAAAATTGTGTGAGCGTGTTCTTTGTTCAACTGTTATTTATGGTGTTTCCCCCAGTCAAATTCCAAGTCCTCTGTAATTTCTCCTCCAATGTGCATGTGCATGTATGTAGGATACGGTAACAAAGAAATGAGAAGTGTGCAGAAATAAATGTTTAAAAAGCCCCTAAATTCAGCAGTCGGATCATGGATGGGACCAACTTCTTCCCGACAAGCACAGATGTCCGCTCCTCAGAGGCCCCCAAATAACAACAATTGACCGCAACACATACAAAAAAAAAAAAAAAAGTAAGAAGAAGACCCTATTCATGTCACTTGCCGCGCTTGGAAAGAGAATCCTTCACGCGATCCTTCGCGTAGCCTTGCATCGTGCCAGCACAGATGTAGACTGTGAAGGGAATGAGCGCAAGGCCACAGTAACGGCCAATCAGTTCATGATCAGCCACGCCACGCATTGCCATCCGAGCTCGCATGAGTTCATACCGCGCAATGAGACGGAACTTCAACGCTCTAAATAACCCCATCCTTGACTCCCAAAGACAGGGAGACACATACGTCTCAACGTACAGTAGTTTCTGCGTGTGTGTGTGTGTGTGTGTGTGTCTGTGCTACACTCCTTATCACTTTTTTCTTTTTTTTTTTTGCGGGTTCGTTCAATTGAATTCAAACCATCACACGACAAAAAACAAAAAAAAAGGCGAAGTTTTTTAGAAGATCGGAGCCAAAAAGAAAAAAAAAAGGAAAAATAAGAAGTAGTTGCTGCGGCACAATGCACACATACAAACAAGAGAGGTTTTTTTTTTTTAAGAAGAAATGGTTGCCCAACGTGCCCCACGCCCAACAACACCTCTTCTACATTTCTTCATGCGTATTTTCATTCACCTTCCATCGACGGCCTTAAGGTGAATGCAACGGTGTGGCCCTTCCTCCTCGTACTCTGCCGCATGAACACACATGCCCTTAAAACTGCTCAACTGAGAGAGAATAACACAACCTGAGAGCGGTGCATGCATGGGTACTTTTGCCTGCAAATGATGCGGGGTCACCTGCAAAGGTGCCACGGCATGACTCAGCGCACCACGAAAAACCTCTCGCACCCCCTTCACAGCGGACGCGCCGCCAAAAAGCACCCACTCGTTTAAGAAGGGAAAATCCATTAAACTCTTCTGATACGCATAGTGCACGGCAACAGGAGCACTAATGTGTGGTTGGTGAAAGAGCAACGCCTCGCCGGCCTCCCGGCACGCAGCAAAACTGATTGGGAACGGCAGACTGTTGCCGTCGGGAAGCGTCAAGCGTGAGGGCAGCGCGACGGGCTCCTCACCAACCCAGCACGCGGAAGACTTCAACGCGCGAAGAATTGGCTCCTCCGCTTCTGGAAGATGACGATTCAACACACAGTCTGCGCCTCGAGCACCCACCGACTGCACCTCGGCACAGAGAGAAGTCTGGACAATGCCATTCACAACAGGCACAAAACGAACCCCGCGGTACCCAACGTCCATGCCTATTCCAGTTGTTTTCCCCACAGAAAAAAGAGCTGTTGCCGCTGCGTAGCCCAGAAACACACGTTTGGCATCTAGATACTCAAAACAGCACTTTAAAATGAGTTCCCTCTTCCACTGCGGAAGCAACACGTCCAAAAGTAACGAAAGTGTTAAGCCAGAGTCCACGGGACAGGAATCAGAAAGTAACTCTGCAAGCTGTCGTCCAAACAGCACCACGTCCAGGGCATCATCCAAGTACGCCGTGCTGGGCACCTCGCTCACGCCAGAATCAAACCCCAGGGTCTTGTCTGTCTTTGAAAAGCATGCGTGCTTCACCGTGTGCGATCCGCAATCAGCAACGAACGTAATATCCATGCGTTTCAACCTCCTCCTCTTTCTCCTCCTCCTCCCTTTGAAGGCAAAGCCCCCCCCCAAAAAAAAAAAAATAAAAATAAATAAATAAATAAATAAATAAAAAGAGCGTAAGAAAAGAGTTGAAAATAAATAATAAAAAAAAGGAATTGGAATGCAGTTTAATTAATTAATTTATTTATTTATTTTTTCAAGGCTTCAACCAAGAATACTGCTGCTCCTTATTACTATTATTCGCCTTTCTTTTGCCCCACCTCCTCATGAATTCACAGGAGGCAGCTCACACATTCCGTTTCATTCCAATCCAAAACACAAACATCGCACACCTGCCCCTCTTCTTTTCCTTCTTTTCCAAGTTTTTTTGTTTGTTTGTTTCTCTTCTTCGGTTATATTGCACATCGGAAGAGAAGCCCAACAAAAAGGCAGCGTACAAAGAGACGCGGCAAACAAAAAAGTAAAAATAAAAATAAAAAAAAAGAAAGGGGTCCAAAAGAATAATTCAAACCAGATACCATTCCTCAGAAACCCATCAATGCGGAGTGGTTTGTCTAATACCATCAATTATATACGACAGTCGTGTCAAGTATTGACTCATCTCAGGCGGTTTTCCATCTTGCAAAAAGGTTCGGTCCACGGTATTGATGGCTTCCTGCATGAGCGCCCTATATTGTTGAACGGCTACAGTATCGTCGCTAAAGTTGGGTGCCACCGGTGCCAAAGAGAAGGACTCTGTCGTTTGGACTGCAGAGGCTACAAAAGGAGCCGACGGCGATGTTGCCCTTGGCGCATTTGTCGCCGCATCAGGGGTAACATGAGGTTCACTATCACTTGTGTCCCCATTTATATGAGGTACGAAGACATTTCTAAAAGCCATCTCGTCACGAGGAAAATGATATGAACTATTCCAATCCATCTTTGGTGTACGCCACGACAATGCCTCACGAGAGACAGTGTGATTCTGACTGACATAAGCTGGGTATTTCTTGGTACTGGTCTCCAGCTTGGTCATCACCTTTGGGACAAGTCGTGTTGCGGTGAAGTTGATGACACTATGTGGGATAGAGCCCCTAGGGTCGCTTTGGGTGATATAAGTCAAAACGCACCCATCTTCACCTAAGGGCTGGATCAAGTATCCAGTTAGAATCGATCGAGCACGAATAAAGCCCTTCTTTTCAGGACAATCAGCGTGTTTCACAGAGTGATTAAATATAATAAACTCGCCGTCACTAAACTCCATCCAGGAGCGAATATTGCAGAAGTCACGGTTCTTCAGAGGCCAAGGAAACTTCGCGGAGTAGTACCCAATATCGTTATGCGCATTCAACTTCACAATATTATAGCCCTCAATCATATTTTCATCCCACACCTCACGGTACTTGGCGTCATGTAAGTTGTCATACAGGTCCACACCCGGAACCCCTCGCATCTCACGCCGAACGCGAACAATGTTGAGTCCCACCGAGGTGTCCTCCGGAGGCCGTGACTCCACCGTTGTGACCGCATCAGAGTAATGGCTTGACCAGTTATCCTCGGAAAGCGCAAACTGTTTGAAGGCGCGGAAGTCCGAGAGGGTTTGTAGTTTGTACTTTTGGCCAGATGACTCAACAAACAACTCGTCGTTAGACATCACCGGGAAGTTATCAAAAAAGGGAGGAAAAGCCAAACAAGAAATGATGCACGTGACAAACAAATAAACAACCAAAAACAACACAATATAAATAAATATATATATGTATATGTATATTTATATATTGGTCTAATTTAGCTACTCACCTAATAAATAATAAACAAACAGGGCAAAAAACAAAACAACAACAACAAAAAAAAAAAAGGCAACTACACATCAAGCAGAGAAATACAGAACATAATAATAATAATAATATGAATATGAATCCGGGCAGACAAACACACGGGCAAAAAAAGAAAAAAGATATATTTATTATATACGTATTCTTCGCACATGACATTGCAAGCGTCAGTGTATGAGGAAGACAAGAGGCGAGGCAATTTGTGTATTGGGCACACTTCCATAACAACCCCGCCCCCCCCCCCCCCCCAAAAAAAAAAAAAAAAAGATCCATTGCGTACATCAGAGAACCGTCCAATGCATGCATAAATACGCCCGACGCACAGACACACACACACTAAGAAAAAAAAGAAGGCAAGTTAGAAGAAAAAAAAACCCAACAGCAGCAAATACGATGCATTGTATTGATTGTCCCGCTCTCCCTTCTGTTGTTTGCAAAACAGGACGACTGAAATGTTCGTTTTGAAAATTGCTCAGCAAAAAGACCACCACCAACTAAGCGCCACCCTCCTCTTTTTCGGTGGCATTTGTTTCAGCAACTTTTTTTTCTAGTTCCGCAACCGATGCGCGCAGACCTTCAATTGCCGCCATGCGCCGTGCAAACCCTCTTGTGGATTTTAATGCGGGATCAACAGTCAACAGCGCCACCATAAATGCATCCGGGCGCTCCTGTGGGTCAAGTCGCGTCATCCACTGCACCAAATTTTGCAGTTCAGCACTATAAATGTGAAAATTCCCGGTGTAGCAGCCATTACGAACAAGCGATGGGTCGCCGCCCATGAGCTCCACGCAGCTGGCACCCAACGCATAAACATCTGCCTCTCCCTTTTGCTGAGAAAACTCGGAGATGGCAAAAGCCTCTGGAGAAAGATAACGACGGTCGCCATCATCGTCATTTGTGCCACGAAACTCTTCACCCGTGTTTGGGCGATCTCTAAAGAGAGGACGTGCAAGGCCAAAGTCCGCTAGCTTGAAGGTATACGTGCCATCCTCCATTTTCCGAGCCAAAATATTCTCCGGCTTCACGTCTCGATGTGTGATATGATGACATAAAAGCCAGTGCAATGCAGACGCTATTTGGTGTATAACGGAACGCAATAACGCCTCTGAAAAAGGCCTATCGAAATCAGCAACTGAACCGTCCGAGAGCCACTCTGTACGTACAAAAACAGCCCTGTCTTCTACCCATCCATCAAAATAACGCAGGACATTTGGATGGCTACATGCACTTAAGGTATACACCTCCTGTAGACGCTGTTGAAGATCCCCCTCACCAGATATCA